AGGATCCAGGCCTCCCAGGCAGTGCAGGTGCAGGAGCAGGGGCCCACCGCTGTGGCCCACGGTCTGCCGAGGCAGGAGGCTGGAGCCAGGAGTTGGGGCTGGGAATGGGCCCCAGGCCTCCGGGCCGGGCTGTCTTAACCAGCGGCGTAAGGGCCCGCGTAACACCCAGCTCCACGCTTACAAAGGGGCTGCCGCCCGGAGCCCCGCGTCCCACCAGCAGTAGCCTTGCCCCTCGCTGCTGAGCCGGGCCGGGCCCTCCTGGGACCCAGGCGGCTGGACACCGGAGATGCAGCGAGAGCCACACCCGCCTCGTGTCCTGGGAGAGGACAGTGGGTCAGCCAAGCAGGCCAAGGCTGAAGAAAGCCTGCCTACTTCCCCAGGATGTCTCAGATACCCGAACCTCTGCTGATCGGGCCCCAGTCCTCTTTTCCCGGGTCACCTGGAGACGCCTGTGTGGTCACCCCAGGACGGGGCCCAAGGTCGCCACCCCCGGGGGCTCTCTGGAGCTGCCAGGTGCCTCGCTCAGTCTCTGGGACACCTGGTTCGTGTCTCAGCCACTGACTACAGCTTTCTTCTCCTGCAAGGCTCTGTTCGGCCCAAACTTAAAACGTTACCTCCTCCGAGCAGCCCTCCAGGGACAGCTGGGCTCTCCAAGGCCCCAACGATCAATCCTGGCTGTGGCACTTTGGGAAGCTGACGCCTGGCCTCCTGGTGTCTGGACCAAGGCACTCCTGGGGGACAGGGACTCTGCCTGTTCCAGGGTCTGCCTGCAGCTGGGTGCTCGCTCAACCGTGATGGAGTGCAAGTTTGGGGGTGTAGGAGAGCAGACCCTGACCCTCCCCTTCCCAATCCCAGGTTCGGGGCCGCACCTTGGGCAGACCCAGGCAGGTGGAAGGACGCTTGCCCTCGCACCCCCTGACTCCACACCGCTGCGTCTCTGGCTTTCAAAGCAACCTGCAAGCAGCCCCCAGAGCTCGGCTTGCAGACGCCGGGAAGGCTGCATCGCCGGGTGCGGCTGCAGCCCTGTGAGGGCGGGGGCTGGAGGCAGCAGGAGGGCAGCCAGCGGCCCTCTCTCCTGGGAGCGCGAAGCCTGTCCCCTGGCCACGTGGTCCCTGCCTCAAAGGCCAGGGTGTCGGGCACTTGAGGCACGGGCAGTGGCGGCTTCAGAACCCAGGAGGGGGCCGCACAGTCTGGTTGGAAGGCGCAAGGGGCTGGGTCTCCGCGGCTTCGGAGGCCTGTAGGGTCTGCGCAGTCACAGATCCGAGCCAGGCCCGGCCTTCCGACAGAAGCTCGGTCCCACCCGCCCCCCGCGGAGCCGCAGGAAGCCCCGGGTTGGCCCGCGGGCGGGGACGCGCACACCTTGCCCCCGCCGCGAGCGCGGTGGCGCAGCGCCCTGGGGAGGCGCCGGCCGGGGCGGGGAGAGGAAGGGGGCGGAGGAGGCGGCTAGAAAGGGAGGCGCGGGCCGGGGAGGTGCGGAGAGGCCGGCGGCGGGAGCGCGGCGCGGGGTGGAGGGCCCGGCTGGAGCGCGGCCCGCGGCGGCGGCGGCGGCGAGCGGGGCAGGCCCGGTGCGGCAGCGCGGCCCCGGGAACGCGGGCCGGGGCGCAGGGGCGCCAGGCCCCACCGCCGCCTCTGCGGGGCCTCCCGCAGCTCGTCCCGCCGCAGCCGCCGCCGCCGGCCCCGGGCCCCGAGCGCGGTGGAGGAGCCCCCCGAGGAGCCGGGCGCGCGCGCCCCGCGCCCCCCAGACATGGTGGGCCACCTGCCCCTGCAGGCCATGGAGGGCGGCCTCCAGGAGCAGAGCCGGGAAGGCATGCTGGACAGTCCCGACTCGGGGCTGCCGCCCAGCCCCAGCCCCAGCCCGCCCTTCTACGCCCTGGCGCCTGCCCCCGCGGAGCCCCCCGGAGCCGCCCAGGCCCCAGCGGTAAGGACGCGCGCTGCGCACCGACGGGGCCGGGTGCGGGGCGGCGGGCGGGTGGGGGCTGCGCGTGCGCCGCGCCCCCGGGCCGGCCGCTGCGGGACGCCGGGGCGCCGTGACAGCCACGCTCCCCGGCCGCGGACCCGCCGCGCTCTCCCTGGCGGTGGGCTTCTCTCGCGAGTGCTCGGCGGCGGCCGGCGGGGAAGCGGAGCCGGCTGGGGGGCCGGGTGGGCTGCAGCCCTGCCCCGCGAGCTGGAGCCGCCGGACCCCCGGCCCGGCGCCCCTCCTGCCGCCTTCCCCGCTCGCTGCCCCGCCGGGCGCTGCCAGCGGGAACTTTTTTTTTTTTTTTTCCTAACCAAAGCCAGACAGGAACCCTTCCTCCCAGGGCTGTCGGGTGTTGACGTGGAGCTGAGGCCGCGCCTGGGGAAGGCTGGAGCCCCAGGTCAGGAGCCTCCGCCGCGCGCGTGGCCGCCTGCCAGGCAGCCCGGCGGTTGGGGTGCACCGGGGGAGGGAGCCGGCTTGGGGGCGGCCTGGGCAGTGCGCAGGGGGAGGAGGCCACCAGTTGCAATGCGTGGAAGTGGCGGCAACCCCAGGACGGTCCCACTTCCCTGCTGGCTCCGGCTGTGCTGGGCAGCCCCTCTGTGCCTTCCCAGCGCTGAGCGTTGCACCCCTGAACCCTCCTGGGGGAAAGAAATGCCCCCGGGCTAACTCCTCGCGGCCTCCAGCCCGGTGCCTCCCTTGCTGCTCCACCGCCCTGGGGCCCGCCCGCTGGAATCCCTCACTAGGGGGATCCGAAGAGACCCCTGCCCACCCGCCTTCCCCGGATGCTCGGTTCCGAGGGGTTCACCCCTCCCTTGGGAACTCCGCGGCTTGGCGAAGTTGGGCCACTTTTAGCCCCAGACCGAGGGGTGTACCCGAAGGTTGGCCTCTCCGCTGGGGGTTCATGGGCTGGGGGTGGGGGGGGCGTGCGCTGTGGGACCAAGCTTGCTGCCTCCACCGGGCAGCACTCTCGCGAGAACGCCTGGGGCTTGGCACGGTCCCCTGCGCTGCACGTGTGGGGACTGCACACCCAGGGCATCCTCCACCCTCCACGGGGCCCAGAAACAGGGAACGTCCCAGAGCCTGCGGCAGGTTTCCCACGGCCACGGCCACCGTGGACCTGGCTCGTGTGCGTGGCCGATCGGCTTGAGCATCTACATCCCCGTCCTCGCTGAGGAGAAGCCAGCGTGGAGCTGTACCGCCCGGCTTTTAATTTGGCAGGGAAGCAAAGCCGGGGCCACTGTTGCACACCTGGCCGTGAGGCACCCACTCCTGTGGTCCCCAGTCGGGGCACGGAGAGCGGCAGCCACTCGCCCAGGGTCGTCCAGCGGGCACGCAGCTGTGCTGGGGGGTGGCGGGACCCACCGTGTCCGGGGCCAGAATCTGCCCTGGAAACATGTCCTGCTTTTCTCTTTGTAGCTCATTAACTGCGTGCATCCGTGTGTGTGCATGCGTGTGCGTGCGTGTGTGTGCAGGTGTGTGCATGCGTGTGCACGCATGTGTGTGCGTGTGTATTGAAAAACAGGACGCCCGTGCACCTACCGCTTTTCCCTGCTGCTCTCAACTAAAGGAGAGGACACAGTCAGCCCAGAGCAAACCCTGCTCAGCTTTGGGGCCTCCCGCCGTGGCCCTGCCCCCCGGGTCCAGGGTGAGCAGCACCCTGCGGGCCGAGGACTCGCACAGGGCGCTCTCCGTGCAGGTGAAAGGCAAGTCTCATCCGGGCACCTGGGGCGTCGCGGCTCCAGTCTCGGGGCTCCTGGTCTCGAACACCCACAAGGGGCTGGGGGCGAGCGGGGCTGGGTTTCCCCGGCGTCACTGGCAAGGCCTCCGGCTTCCCTGCACAGGTCGGGTGTCTACGTTCTGCCTTCCGATCAAAGCTGGTGGCACCCGGCCCTGCTTGTCCCCAGCCCTGGCCTCCGAGCTCCACCCTGGGCACCTCCGGGGTGTTGGACGGACAGAGTCCCCCGCACGGTCTTAATGAGCGGGACTTGCCTTCCCCGTGCTGCAGTCCGTGTGGGCAGGGACGACCCCACCCCGCGGGAGTGACAGCCTCGGTGGCCAGCCTGGAGCTGAAGACCCTGCTTCCCCCGGGGCCTTTCTTGTTCATTCTTGGCTCAAAGGTGGGGACGCAGCTGATGCCCCACAAACCCGGTGAAATGCTGGGACTGTGTCCCTTGTCCCCCAGTACTTGTCGAGCACCTGCTGTGTGCCGTGCACTGTTGGGGACCATGGAAGGCGCAGCAGTGAATAAAATGGCAAAGGTCTCTGTCCTTGTGGAACTAGCATTCTTTTTTTATTAAAAGACATTTATTTATTTTTATTTTTAAAAGATTTTATTTATTTATTTGAGAGGTAGAGTTACAGACAGAGAGAGGGAGAGACAGAGAGAGAGAGAGAGGTCTTCCATCCGCTGGTTCACTCCCCAAATGGCTGCAAAGGCCAGAGCTGGGCCGATCCAAAGCCAGGAACCAGGAGCCTCTGGTCTCCCACGTGATGCAGGGGCCAAGCACTTGGGCCATCTGCTACTGCTTTCCCAGGCCACAGCAGAGAGCTGGATCGGAAGAGGAGCAGCCAGGACTCGAACCGGCGCCCATATGGGATGCCGGCGCTGCAGGTGGTGGCTTTATCAGCTGTGCCACAGCACCAGCCCTGGACTGGCCTTCTAAGGGGGAGCCCCAGCGCCAGCGTACCTGTGTGGCTAGTGCCAGGTGGGCCGGCAAGGGCGCCTGGGACACTGCCTGAGATGGGGGCAGCTGGAGGAGTGAGGTTTACTGCAAGTGGTTCTAGGGCTGACGGGCCTCTCAGCCCCAGTGAGTGCAAAGCCCCTGAGGCAGGAGCAAGATGGGTGCAGGCAGCTGGGGTCACCAGAGGGAGGGGCAGGAGGAGAAGGGGCCTCAGAGCTGAAGCCAGAGAGGACAACACTACTTGGTCTTTGAAAAACTCCACTTGTGGCTGCTGTGTTTTTACTTTTTAAAAGACTTCCTGAGCTCCCGCACCCCTCAAGTTAGAACCCAGTCAGGGCTGGGGCTGACTGGGAGGGCACAGGTGGGACGCGGGGCCTGCCCTCGTGCGTGACCCCAGGACCGCCGAGCTGTCAGCCGGGCCGGGACCACCAGTCAGCTGCCGTCACATACGCTCAGCCTGGTGACGCCGTGGGCTGAGAACAGGCAGCTGCTGGCCCCGCGCCCCCGAGCGCCCAGGGCGGGAGGTGGAGCGGACGCTGGTGCCCCTCCTGTCTGCCCTGGTGTCCGAGGGAGGGCCAGGGGAGACTGGGGCTGACATCGGCAGAGTTGGGGACCAGCCCTGTCCCGTGTGACTGTGGGGAGGCCGCGGGGACACGCGGGGTCTTGGGTGGTGTTCTCTGGGTGCCAGGCGAGGGGTTCCCCTGCCCCAGAGCCGTGAGCGGAGGTAGTGGGCTGAGCCGCTGTAGCCTGTCAGATGCACAGGTGCCCCCGCCACCCCTACCCCGGCCCCGGGCTGGTGCCAGCGCGGCTCCCTGTCCCACGCGTCTGGGCACCCGCAGGTCTCGAAGCAGCCTGCAGGAGGAATCCCCTAAGGCCGGAGCCCGATTCCGAGAGAAGCCCCCGTGGGCTGGATCCGTAGACTCGTGGCTGGGAGGAGGAGGCCTTTGCCCATCTGTGAGGATTCCCTGGGGCTGCCCGGCCCCTTGAGAGCACGGCCACGTCCCCGGACCTCGCTGTCCCCGCTGGACTCCTGGGCCTCTCATTTCTCTGTCCCTGGTCTGTGATGGTGACACTGAGAGTGAGAGGAGAGGAGAGTGGGCTCTAGGGGCCAGCACCTGGGGCCGGGGAGGACAGACGGATGGATGGACAGATGGATGGACAGATGGGTAGGAGACACGGATGGATGATGGGTGAATGAGTGGATGGACAAGTGGACAGATGGCTAAGCAGACAAAGATGGACGGATGTGTGGATGGGTGGATGGGTGAGCTGACCCGGATGGATAATGGATGGGTGGGCGCAGGTGGCTTATACATGGTTGGATGGACAGCTGGACAGCTGGACAGACTGCTGCCCCTGGCGGGCTCACAGGTGTGCACCTGAGCTTCGAAGCTGTCTGAGCATGCCCAGATGGAAGAGAGCCAGGCGTGCCAGGAGGAACCTATTTGCAGAAAGGGAGGCAGTTCGCGGTTGTGTGTGTGTGTGAGTGTGCGAGTGTGTATGAGCGTGTGTACAAGCGTGTATATGAGTGTGTGAGTATGTGTGGGTGTGTATGAGTGTGTGTGTGGGTGAGTGTGAGTGTGCGAGGGTGTGTGAGTGGGTGTGGGTGGGTGGGTGTGTGAGTGTGTGTGCGTACCAGAAACTCTGGCGCCTGCTTTCCGCCGCGTCTGCCGCATCCCGGATGCAGTGGCTCCAGCGGGACTCAGGCTCCGCCAGCCCCTGCTCTGTGCAGGAGCACCTGTCACACCTTGAGTGGGACAGAAGACAAACAGGCCACGCCCTTCCAGGGGGTCCGGGGCCGAGAGAGGGGACCTGCAGGGCCCCCAGGCAGGCGTGGTCTCGGAGCCCCCAGGCCTCCTTCGGTGACATCTGCATCCCAGGATGCACAGGACCTGCAGCGGGAGTGTTGCGTACGAGCGGCTTCCGTGAGGCTGAGCTCCGAGTCCACCTGCTCCAGCCCTCCGTCCCCTGGGTTGCAGCCCCCTCCTCGCTCAGGGCCGTGGCCCCCTGAAGGCTGTCCCCGCCGCTGCCCAGCAGGGGACGGCGCTGCCCATGGGGCTGCCCCAGCCTCTGCCCCAGTCCCTCACTTGGCCCCATGTCCACATCCCCCTCTTCTATTTAAAGATTTATTTATTTGAAAGGCAGACTTAGAGAGGGAGAGACCGTCCATCCGCTGGTTCACTCCCCAAATGGCTGCAGCAGCCAGGGCTGGGCCAGGGATGGATTCCATTCTGGTCTCTCTCGTGGGTGCAGGGCCCGAGCACGTGGGCCACCCTCCACTGCCTTCCCGGGCCACAGCAGAGAGCTGGATCGGAAGTGGAGCAGCTGGGACTCGAGCTGGCGCCCACATGGGATGCTGGCACCGCAGACAGCAACTTAGCCGGCTAGCGCCACAGCGCCGGGCCCGCCCCTCCTCTTACAGGGCACCAGTCATGGCAGTGAGGGCCTGCCCCGGCCCAGAGTGAGCCATCTTCTCGCAAGCAGGTGCCGGGGTGGCCTGGCAGGTGTGTGCTCGCTCCCAGTTCCACCGCTCTGGGGCCATGCTGGGGCCTCTCTGGCCCTCGGCAGCCCCACGAGCCGAGCCCGAGAAGGATGAGCGCTCGGATTTCTGCGTCCGTGCCTTGCTCCGCCGTGTTCGCAGGTGAGGGTCAGGGTCAGCCTTCACCCGGTATCGGAGCTTGTGCCCCGAGAGTGCATTCCGGACACGCGCTCCACGGCGAGACTTCATTCCCCACACCAGGGGCACAGTGGCCGTGGGCGACGGCGTCTGAGCCCGTGCAAGAGGCCCCGTGTGCCCTGGCCTCCTTCCAGAGTGGGGGCTCCCTGGTTGGCTGGCTCTGCCTAGCGGCAGCCACAGAGCCCCTGGAGCGCCCCTCCTGCCACCTGCTCCTCCACTGATGGGCTGCCTTGTTGGTCCCAGACTGAAGTTCACGGTCCGTGTGCCCATCCTGTGCCTGCTGTGGGCTGTCTCCCAGGCCCCTCGCCCAGCCAAGCAGGGACCCTGCCGGGGCCCAGGCTCTCCCCAGCCCTGGCCACCGTGGCTGCGGGCTGCGGCTGCTGGCAGCGGCTAGGGAGGAGGGAGCCCCCACAGCACCCCTTGCCTTTGCTTCCACTGGCAGGGAGCGTCTCCCTGGGCTCCTCCCGCAGTTCCCTGCCCACCTGTGCCCCAGGCCCTGTGCCCTTGGAGGCCCACCCTGGCCCCACGCCTGCTCAGGAGAGTGCCCTGGGGCCCTGCCAAAGCCCCACCTGCAGCTTCCTCCCTGCCAGGAGCCCCCTAACCTGACTTCCAGGTCCGGGGCCCTCTGGGCTGCGGGAGGCTGGCCCCCTTGCCTGCTGGCCGCTTGGCGGGCTTCCGGGACCCTCCGGCGGCAGAAGGACCTGGCTCCCGGCGTCCCAGGGACCTTCAGCAGCTCCCCAGCCAGCCTGGGCGGATTCGAGGTGCTTCCCCGCTCCGGGCCCAGCCTTCTCTGCCCGCCTGGCAGCCCTGGGGAGCAAGGTGGCTGGGCTTGGCCCGAGAGGACAGCCCCACAGGAGTCCCCTGTCTGTCGGCTGGGCCGCAGTCTGTCCTGAGGGCCTTGTCCCCACCTACCCAGTCCTGTCCCTTCCCCTCCCCGGTGCCTCTCCCGGGGCAGAGCAGGGCAGGGCTGTGCCCGTCCCACCCACCCCGGCCAGCGCACAGTAGGTGTTCAGCAAAAACCTGGGGGATGTCCTGCTCTGGGTCACGACCCTTGGGGAGGGGCTTCTTTCTGTGAGCAGCCAGTCCCGGGGCTGCACCGTGGGGGCCAGCCTGGGCTTCAGTCAGTCATGGAGGCTGCTGGGCGCTGTGGGCGTGGTCGTGGTGCTTGGTGGCCCCGGAGCAGGCGGCAGCCCAGAGGCCAGGAGCCCTGTGCTGATGTCCCCTGGAAGCCAGGTGCACTGGATGCAGGGGTGGGGAGGGGTGTGGGGAACGAGCCCATGGGAGCTCTGGGTGCGAATGGCTGCAAGCCTGGGAATAAGTGTGTGACTTGGACGGTCCAGGGCCTGGCAGGGTCCGGGTGGGGATGTGGCTGCCGCAGCCAGTGCCCACCTGCCCCAGGGAGCTGTCCTTGGGGGGAATGGGAGAGTCCAGCAGCTTCCTCCTTCCCTGGGGACCGCTCCCTGTGGGGTCAGGAGGGCCCCTGGTCTTGCATGGCTGCCCCCTACTCCTCACCGTGGTCCCAGTGTCTGCTGGAACCGAGTAGCCCCCAGACCCCGTCTGCTCTGCCTGGTCCTGTGCCTCCCATGATAAAGTGCGATTGATGTTGGGCACAGGAAGAGACCAGCAAACACATATTCTCTAACAACTTGCTGTAATAAAAGCCTGGGAAACTGACGGACTGGTTGTTTCTGGAACTTTCCATCTAGTGTGTTTGGACCGTGGTTGACTGGATCGGGGTACTCCTGTGGTTGCTGAAGACCTGGGATAGATTTTCCAGGGCTTTCCGGGGCAGGGGGTAGGGAGGCCCCGGCGCTGCGGAGACTGGGGTGCAGAGCATGGCAGGAGTGGGAGGTCTGTACTGGGGGGGCTGGGGACCCCCGGCCACTTCCTGCCACCCTGGTGGTCTCTGTTTCCATGGAGGGGGCAGGAATCTTGGAGGAAGGGCTTTGAGACAGAGCGGAGACTGAGCCCACACAGGGCACGGGGCCTGCACTGTGCTGACTGCATCCCGGAGGGGTGGTCCCGCTCAGAGGGCTGCGGGAGCTTCCCCGCCCACCAGAGCAGCTCAGCCGCTTCGTGCGGTGGTTCACCCTCAAGGGCTTGGCTTCAGGCACGGCTTGGTCCAGGCGTCCGAGTGATGTCGGCAGGACATCACCATGCTCCTTGGTGCTGCCAGGTGCACCCACCTCCCCTCCCACTTAACCATGGTGGGGAGGCTCTTCTCACTGCTGCTCCACCAGAAACCCCGAGCAGGGCTCTCATTGGCCAGTGTGGGTCACACGCCCACGCCTCAGCCAATCCTTGTGCTCAGGAAGAGGCGGATGCTGGGTGGACAGGGCTGGGAGCCCACACGGGGAACGTTTGCCACCCTGGGCTCCTGTGCCCCTCTGTGGGCTGGGCCAGCTCCCTGTGTGTCCCGCCCCCAGCACTGGGGGTCCCAGACGCAGGTGTAGCAGGGTCTCACTGCCCCTCTGGTGACAGTGCCAGGAGGGGCTGGGAACTGTCCCCGGGAGGAGTGGGCTGCAAGGAGCACAGTTCTGCAGAGCCTGGGTCTGGGTCTCGGGGGCTGCAGGAGGAGGCCCCGCAGGCTGACGGGCAGGTGTGCTGGAGCCCACAGAGCCGGGGCTGGGAGGGTGCCAGGCGGTCCTGCCGTGCCCACAGCCCCCTCCCCTCCCGCAGGTAGCCCCCGCGCCCGAGAGGAGGCCCCGGATGCTGCCTGTGTTCTTTGGGGAGACCATCAAGGTGAACCCAGAGCCCTCGCAGGAAGTCCGGTGAGTGCGCTGCGGGCTGGGGCTGGGGGGTGCCGGGCTGACTCCCCTGCGGGGCAGCAGCAGGGAGTGGCCGTGGGGGCTCTGCAGGCTCCCGTCCCGCCCTCCAGGCGGCTCCTGCGCAGGGACAGTCCTGCCGCAGCCGCAGGTGACACGGATTTCAGAGGCGCTGACCCCGGCAGCCCCCTGCCCTGGTCCTGGCACCTTCGCCCCTCCCCCCGGGCCTCACCTGGCTTATGTTCTCGGCCATGCTGCTGTCAGTTCAGTGTCCTCGTGAGCTCACCCTGCCGGGTGGCGGCCCCCTGGCCCCCACGGCTGAGCCCTAGGGTGTCCTCGTCCCCGTGGTGCACAGGTCAGACTCACAAAGGCCGACAGTGAGTGTCCACCTTGGGGACCGTCCACTGCCCGCCCAGCACCCCTCCACTTCAGGCTGCAGCGGGGCCCCACACCCCCCGAGCTGGGCACCTCCATGGTCTCCTGGGCACTGGGCCGGTCCCTGGACTTCTCCATGAGGTCACCAAGCCCCCTCTCAGGAACGCGTGCCCCCCCGCTCCTGTTCACGGCGCAGGGGCGGTGGCCACCCCGGCCTCACCTGCGCCCTCCCTGCCCTTCCTAGCTGCAACTCGGAGGTCAAGTATGCCTCAGAGAAGCACTTCCAGGACAAGGTCGTCTACGCGCCCGTGCCCACGGTCACGGCCTACAGCGAGACCATCGTGGCGGCGCCCAACTGCTCGTGGCGCAGCTACCGCAGCCAGCTGACCCTGGAGCCGCGCCCGCGCGCCCTGCGCTTCCTCAGCACCACCATCATCTTCCCCAAGTGCGCCAGGAGCACCTTCCGGACCACCCTGCACTGCAGCCTGGGCCGGCCCAGCTGCTGGTTCACCTCCAGTGTGCGGCTGCAGCTGTGCGGGCACCCCGCGCCCGGCCCCGCGGTGCTCTGACGGGCGGGAGCCCTGGGAGGGGCCGGCCCCGGGGCAGGAAGCGGGAGGAGGCCAGCTGGCTCCCGACCAGCGGGGAGCGAGGCTGCTCCTGGCCGACTGCCCTGCCCCCGGCTGGGCTGCCGGTGCCCCGTCCCAGGGTGGAGGAGCCGATCAATGCATCCATTCTGTTAGGCCCCGAGCGGGCCAGGCAGTCTGGGCACGCCCGGTGGCGAGCCGGGGGAAGAGCTGTGCCAGGCCTGGTTGGGCCTGTGAGTGAGAGAAGCCGCCTGCCCCCAGACCCCTGCTCCGGGGAGGGCCGTCTCCAAGTCGTGCGTGTCCAGCTGCCTGGGGCTGCCCGGAAAGTGTCCAGACATGGTGTCCCAGGGTCCTGGGGCCCCACCTGAACGGAAGCTTCTGGCCACACCGTGAGGTATCCCCAGCCAACACCGTCACATGACACCTTCAGGACCAGGACTCAGCCCTACGAGCCCTTGTGCCAGGTGCCCGGGGAGCCGCGGGGACACTGGGAAATGTTGCTGCCACTAGCTGGAGGCTCCGCGATTGGCGTGGGGGCCGGCCGCCTGTCCTCAGGCCTGGTCACCTCTGCAGGAGACGTGCCGGGCCCTAGCACAGACGGCTTTCCCTGGCACGTGTGACACTGCGGGAGGCTGGCAGCTTCCTGGGCTGCTCGGAGCCACTCACATCCCCACCCCCGGGGCCGCCCACCCTCTGCCTGCCTCCCTGGCTCAGATCTGAATGCACGCAGCGCCCCCTGCTGGCCCCCAGGAGCCCTGGGGGCCGCTCCAGGCTCACCTTGGAGAGGCAGAAGGACTGGATATTTTGTATCTACTCGGAGAACTTTTCATAGACTGCTAACTTAAGTTGCCCGAGTTTTAAATAAAACGTGCAGGGACTGGTGCTGTGGCGTGGCGGGTTAAGCTTATCCCATGGGGGCGCCAGTTCGAGTCCCGGCTGCTCAACTTTGATGCAGCTCCCTGCTAATGGCCTGGGAAAGCAATGGAAGATGGCCCAAGTGCTTGGGCCCCTGCACCTGCGTGGGAGACCCGGAAGAAGCCCCAGGTTCCTGGCTTTGGCCTGGCATAACTCCGGCAGTTGGAGTCATTTGGGGAGTAAACCAGCAGATGGAAGACCTCTCTCTGTGTCTCTGTAACTCTACTTTTCAAATAAATAAATAAATGAATCTAAAAGTAATAATAAAAAATAATGAGACGAGCAAATGCAGAGGAGCTGCCGTCTTCCCTGCCACACAGCGTTAGCCCCGAGGGACCCCGCTGGGCACAGGCTGGACCTGCGCCAGCCCAGAGCCACTGAGCTCCGCCCTGGTCCTGGGTCGGGCCGGCTCTGCAGAGGGGCCGCCGGGTCTGCGTTCCTGACGCACACGAGAGCTCTCGGCACCCCAGACCCTGCTGCCCCCCACCCTGGAGGATGTGCGCAGAGCCGGCAGCTGGGACGCCCCTCCCCCTCCCCCCTGGGGCTTCTGGGCCCTGGGTCAGGACTCTGGGCTGCCGGCGACAGTATCATTTCAGAGATGGAGAACCAGGCTGGGATTTGGCCCAGGGTCCGTGGTTGGTGAGGGTGGGGCCTGGGAGAGTGTTCCAACACAGAGGCGGTGAGGTCGGCGTGGCCCGCCGCAGTCCAGACCCAGCCGGCAGGACGGCACAGAGCACAGTTCCCCTCACTTCCACCCTGCCCACCGGGGGCGGGGGACTGCGGTTCACTCCCCAAATGGCCGCAGTGGCTGGGCTAGTCCAGGAGGAAGCCAGCAACCCGGGACTCCATCGCAGGTCCCCTCCGTGGGTGCAGGGGCCCAGGGACTCGGGCCATCTTCCCCAGCGCATTAGCAGGGAGCTGGATCGGAGCAGAGCAGCTGGACGTCACCAACACGCAGGCGGCCGCTTTACCCGCTGCGCCACAGCGCCGGCCCCCTGAGGCTGAATCCCGAGGTCTGTGACGAGGGAGACACAAGACTGGCCAGGAGCCGGGCCTACCCTGTGCCAGGCGTCTCCGCAAACGCTCGGGCTGCATCCTTGACAAAAGCTCAACTCCAGCTCGATTTCCAATCACACCTCGATCTCTTCCCCGACGCGGAAGGAGACGTGGGTCGGGCGGCGCCAGCGCATCCGGCCAGCCCCGCAGCAGGCTTGGCTGAGACGACGGAGTGTGCATGGCGGCCACACCCCTTGCCACTGTTACCCTCCCACCCTGTTCCCCTCTCTGTCTCAGCGTCCGCCTCCCACAGGACCCCGCCCAGCAAGGTGCCATCTTCCGTGGGGGCCCTGGGGTCACTTCCCTTCTAATGGTGTTGTGCCTCCTGGGGGCGCTGGAGCCCAGACAGGGGGAGGAGTTGGCAGGGCTGGGAGCCCCAGGCACCCCCTGGCTGTCGGCAGTGGGCCCAGTGAGGAGCAGCAAAGGTGCCCGGTGTGTCCAGCTCCTACCGCAGCCCCGGGACGTCCATCTCCCAGACAGCGGCTGGACGCTCGGGCCCCGCTGCCCAGCCACGCGCTGCTCGCCGGGGCTCCCGGCGCCTCCAGACTCTCACACCTGCGGCCTCGCTGAGTGTGTGCTGGGCTCACGGCCCAGGCAGGTGCTGTCATTTGCCTCACCCCTGGGGGGCGCCACACCGGGCCAGCTTGGGGATGCTGGCGAGGACCAGGCCACTCTATCCAGCATCCGTGAGGTGTGTGCAGGGCCTTGGCCTCCCTGGCCAGAAACTTGGATGTACAACCTGCCCCCCACCGACAGGTGTCTCCCCGCCTGCCATCTGTTGGGCCCTGCACGGCCCCACCCCCTGTGCTGGCCCTGGGGTGGGGAGTGGTCATGTGCATTTTACCCTTTGACGGGGTAGACGCAGGGCCCACGGCCCAGCCCTCACGCTGCCGTCTCTGGAATCCCCCCGCCCCGCCTCAATCAGCCCTGCTGGGGACAGAGCGGCCACACAGAAGCTTGCCCCAGCCCCCCCGGCATCTGGCTGCTCCCAGACGCACACATCGGCGTCACTGCCGGCCGCCTCTTACCCCTTGCCTTCTGTGTGACCCCAAGCTGGGCCCAGGCCTTTGTCCGACTCTGCCCGTGGAGGCCCATGGCCGGCCGATGGCCTGACAGCAGCCCGCCCTCCCCTCGGCTCCAGAGGTCCCGGCCTCTGCTGAACCCCTGCTCTGGCCTCACACTCCTCCCCCTCAGCCCACCCAGGCCCACCTGCCCTGAGCAGAAAAACCAGCTCCTCCCTGCCAGAGACTGACACCGCCCCCCCCAGCTCCGCCTGGCTCGCCTCCCGCCTTGGCCCACCACAGGGTCTCCCTGCTTGGCCTGTGCTTCCCCAGGTGTGGGGCCAGCTCAGCCTCAGGCTGCCCCCTCCTCCCCATCCCAGAAACACCTGTGCAAACACGATTCCCGGGGTGCACCCTGGGCAGCCCTGGCCGGCAGCTGCCCCTACCGGTGCAAGTGTGCGCTGATTGCCACTGCACATGGTCCACACAGCGGCAGCGCAGGGGACAGTGGGCGCAGAGAGCAGGCGGGGGCGGCAGGAGCTCTGCCCCCAGGTGGAACAAGCCTGTGGCCCACAGCCACATTAAGAGGGACCGTGGCCTAGGGAGGTGCCTGCAGGAGGCGCCTGGGTTCCAGGTCAGGGCAGTCTGTGTGCGGGTTGGAGGCACTGGGCCCGTTGCTGCCTCCAGTGCCACCTGCTGGTCAGTCTCAGTACTGCAGCAGGACGTTAGTACTGAGTTGGGCACATCCCATAGGGTCTGCTGCGTGGAGACCCCAAGGCACCCACCAGCAGGGACCCTGAGGATGCAAACTCCTCTCCCAGCGGTCACGTCCCGGACCTCCCAGTCCCCAATCCAGGGGAGGCAGGGCTCCGCATGGACTGGGGAGGTTGGAGCGGTGCACCCAGGTTCTGCCCCAACTCCTGCAGAGCCTGCCAGTCTCTTCCCCTGAGCAAAGGTGGGGGGGGGAGTGAGACACCCGCACAGGACAGGGACCCTGAGTCCTGGAGGGCCAGGCCCAGCACGTGAACAAGGGCCCTTCAGCCCCCAGGCAGCCAGCCGGACCAGGTCCCCCTGGGGGCAGCTGGGGCCACCTGTCCTTGGGGGGCTGAGACTAGCGCCTGTGAGGTCAGGGACCACAGAGCTTGGCAGGACTCAGAAATGCCTGCCCAGGAAGCAGACCTCACTTGGACCATCCCCGAGGCCTGAGGGCAGGGAAGCTGCCCACACACCCTGCTGGTTTTGGGGAGAAGCGCCCCCCCCCCCACCGCTGACAATGGCTCCAGAAACGTGGTGAGGGCAGGGGTGGGATTGGTGGCCACACTCTCGCCAGCACATGGTGCTCCCGGAGGGCTGTGGCGTGGCTCAGGGGGCTCCGCCCGGGGCTGCTGGGGGTCTTAAGGGCAGAGGGAGAAGGTCCAGGCATGTGCCCCATCCTCCAACAGCTTGAGCCACCGCACGGGGGCGGTGGGGGGCACAGGTGGACAGGGGCCTCCTACAAGGCTCCGGGCAACACCCCGCAAGCGGAGGCCTGGTGGCTGTTGTACAGGGAGGGGAGGGAGGGGGAGCCGGGCCACTGCGCCCAGGGACGTGGCCACGAGGGATGCGGGGCAGGCTCTGGGGGGCGGAGCCCTGGACACCACAGCAGGGCCGTAGCAGCTTTGATCCAGGCTGGCAGGAGCGACTCTCCCACCACAAGGACAGCAGGGGGTCCCACAGCAACTGCGCACTGGTGGCCAGGGGCCGGCGCTGTGGAGCAGGGACTTGAGCCGCAGCCAGCGACGCCGGCATCCCACATCTGAGCTCTGGTTCGAGTCCTGGCTGCTCCACTTCCAGGCCAGCTCCCTGCTAATGGCCAGGGAAAAGCAGGGGAAGGTGGCCCAGGTGCTTGGGCCCCTGGACCCACATGGGAGACCCGGACGAGGCTCCTGGGTAGGGCCTGGCCCAGTCCTGACTGTTGTGGCCATCTGGGGAGTGAACCCAGCAGATGGAAGCTGTCTCACCCCTGTCTGTAACGTGGCCTCTCAAATAAACAAGTCGTGTCCCCTTGGTCACTTATTTTCAGCATGGACAGGAACAGTTCACACCCTCACCACCCCTCCCCGTGGGCGTGACTCCCCAATGCCCTTGTGACCTCCCACCCAGGGGCGCAGAGGGGGTGTCCCTGGCCCTCCAGGGGGATGACACAGCCACCCTTCCTCAAGCCCCCGCTGCCTGCCCGCCTGGCCGTCGGTAGAGAAGACACCGGGGGGACTCGAGTATAATTCGCTTTTTAATTAGAACCACGTGTGTAAATGACAGAATGCCACGGCCGTGCGCAGACGGCGGCCACGGAATACGCGTCCAATTCATTCTGCCAAGGGAGGGAGGGAGGCCGCGGGGGCTGGGGAGCCCCGCGGACGATGGGGTCACCGCCTGTCGCCTGCACGCGCCCCCTGAGCGGGAAGCAGAGACCGAAAGCGCAGCAGCAGTAATACTGGGCGAGTCCTTCCTCGCGGGAAACAGCTGAGTTAATTCATCGAAGGTATCAAAAATATACCCTGTAAACCAATACATCATGTACACCTGCTCCCTCCCACCGCCCGCCCACCTGGCCTGACTTGGTTCCCAGCAGTCTCAGGGGCTGGAGCAGCCCGCGGCGGGGAGGGGGGCCTGCAGGGCGCCTGTGTCCGTCTGTCCAGAGTGCTAAGCGGGACGGGAGGCGGGGGGAGGGGCGGGGCTGCCAGCCCGGTTTAGACTTTGGTTCCAGATGCGTTAAGGGGGGAGGCGGGGGCGTGGAGGTGCGTGGCCGTCCTGCTTTGGGTCCCTGGCCGCCCGGCCGCGCGCGCGGCCCCTGCTCTCCCCCCCCCTCCCGAGCACCAGGTAAGCATCCCCTGAGTAAGGTCACTGCACAGGGCCAGCCCGGGGCGGGGTCCCAGTTAAGGCTTCAGACAGGCAAGGATGCCAACTCTGCATGACGGATGGACGGATGCGCAGGCGCACTCAGGGGCTCCTTCCTCGGTGCGGGGGCCGCCCCTGCCGCCCCCGCCCCGTGCGTGGGGAGGGGGTCACTCGCTGTCGGAGAGCGTCTCGTACTGCGAGCAGAGCAGCGGCTTGGGCTCCTCGTCCCAGGCAGGGTGGGGGCCCGCGGGGAGGCCAGGCGGGGGCGGGGAGGCCATGACGCCCGCCTGCAGCCGCATGATCAGGGGGTTGTAGGGGAAGGGCGTGGAGCCTGCAGGGGGACAATCCCATGAGCCGGTGGCCGAGCAGGCCCCACTAGGCCTGTCCCCGGGGGCTGGGCAGCACCCCCCCATCCTGGAGGCCCGCCCTGCCCTGCCCCACCCCGCCCACCTCCACGCCACATCTTCCCCAACACTCAGGAGAGAAGGCCCGAGCACGGCCGTGCCTGCCCCGCCCTACACCCCGGGGCCTTCCTGGACATCCCTGGTCACACCCCGTCCTCCCGAGTGGCTGGGAGCCAGGGTGTGCGTGGGCAGCCCTGCACGCACGCACCTGCCGACGAGGGCCGGTCCTCCCACACGCGGTTGGTGAGTGGCGTCCGGCGGTTACAGTCTCCCTCCGAGTGCACCGAGGAGACGGAGGGTGGCCGGTCCCCGGACGCCAGGCCCGGGGCCGGGGACTTGGCTTTTCGGCTGCTGGGTCGGCCAGAGAGCTTTGTCTTCCCGCTGCCCCCTGCAGGGGCACAAGGGGGAAGGGGCCGCGTTGCACCCCGCACACGGCCCCTGCACGGATGGGAGGTGGGGGCATCCTGCGGTGAGGGGGGGCGGGGTGGCAAGGAGGCCGAGACCTGGCCGCGAGCCTGGGACCCGGAGGGGTGGGCCTGACTGTCAGCCACCCACCCAGACCCCCGCTCAGCGTCCAGTTCGGACAACTGGGCCAAGACCGCTTTGCTCTGCTCCTGCTCAGGCACGGAGGCTGTGGCTGGGCCCGGGCGGCGGGCTGCTCTGCTCCCTGGCCCTGGGCCGGCCCTGGCTGCCGCGCCCTCCTCCTCCAGGGGCCTCCCCTCCAGCCTGGTCTCCCCCCAGGGAGACCCCAGCGGGCCAGGACGCGGGGGCTCAGCAGGGGCGGAGCGGGCAGCGGAGTGAGCGTTCTGAGGAAGCAGCAGCGTCTGGGGCCGCGTGGGCAGGGCCGGGACACTCGGGGGTGTCGGCCCGGAACGAACGTCAAACAGGCACAAAAACAGTCACAGGCTCCACAGAGGGACGCAGAGGAGAGGGGTGAGTGACACCGGGGGCGGGGACAGACGGGGCGGGCGGGGCCTGCAGACCTGGCGAGCCGAGCGCGTGGTCGCTCCGTCCGTCAGCAGTGGTTATGGGCATAGCAGCAGGCAGGCTGGCACTGGCATTCAGAGGGTTAAAAGCATGGGCGCTGAGTGGCGGGGGGTCGGCCCCCTGGTCATATTTACCCATGAGGGCCTTTCTAATAATGGCCTCCAGCCCCATGTTGGCGCTGGCATGCTCCTGCAGCGCCTGGCTCCTACAGGTCATAAGGCCTGGGAGAGAGACGGACACACAGACACACAGGGGCCGGGAGGGAGCCAGAGAGGAGGGGGAGAGAGGGCGGAGGCGGGAGGGGAGAGGAGAGGAGAGAAATTCACATGAGCACATTTCGCAAAGCAACGTTTCCTCCCCTCCCCCACTGTCCTGCAGGTGGTGACCGGGGTGGGGTAGGGGGCTTCTAACTGGGGCTCCAGAGCTCCAGGGAGGGCCAGAGCCCGTGCCCCCGCCTCCTCCTGACTGCCCTCCGCGTGGCCGTGGCCGTGGCCGTGGCCGCAGCCCCTGCACCCGCACCCAGCCGGGCTGTTTGCATTTGCTAACCTCAGGTGGCCTCAGGGCTCCTGTTTGGGGAAGGGTTGCTGGGAGACTGTTGGGCCAGAGCCCATGTCCAGCCGTGTCCCTAGGGGCTGGTGGGACTCACAGAGGCAGGGTGACCGGGGATGCACCCCCAGCTGCCCCTACACCGGATCTATCTCCTCTCTCCCGCCCCCCGCCCCACCCCACCCGGGAGGCAGTGGAGAAAGAGGCGCAGAGAGGGGACGTGAGGTGAAGGTGGCAGCCATGCAGTTACGTGCGTGCAGGGGACAGGGCAGAGCTAGAGACGCGTGCAGGCCGCCCCCGGCCCGGCCCGGCCCTGGCTGATGGGATCCATAGACGGGCGGCCCCTGGCGCCGCCCCTCCCCGCCAGGCTCGCTCTCCTCGTCTGTCTCCTCACTGCCCATTCTGCGGGCTGCAGCGCCGGGGTCACACCGCACTGTGCTCCCGAAACACCCCAGGGGCCCCAGGGCCAGCCTGCCCCGGGCTCCGACTCAGAGCCAGGACCAGGAGTGCCAGTCCACCCGCCTTCTGGGTTCCAAACCCGTGGCAGCCAGACACGGAGCAAAGTCTCCGCCACCTGTCAACAGCCCCCAAAAAAGCAGCCAGCTTCACCCGCGATGCCGCCCACTCGGGGAGCGGAAGCGAGGCCGCGGGCAGTCAGCTGTCGCGACGGCTGAGCCACCTGCCTGCCTGAGCTGGGCTTGGGCCCGAGCAGCCTCGCTCACAAAGAAAAGCAGGTGCCGCAGAATGGCACGCGGGCCTGGCAGGCGCACTGCGAAGGAACAGGGAAACTTCCCGGTGCCACCGCGAGAAAGTCTGCACACGCGTACACCTGGCTCTCGAGCGCCCACATCAAGGTCTCGACCATTCCGGAAACGCTCGTTTCTAACCACCTTCCTGTTTCGACCAAACTCGGTTCTTTCCGTAGCCTGAGGCTGTGTAGTTTCTGGGTGGACGGCTGCCCTGATGACCCCCCACCGAGGGACCTGGGTGAATGTCCCCAGGCCACGGTGCATCCGGGACCCAGGCCTGGAGTCCTGAGCACCACAGAGGTCAAGTTTCAGCTTAAAACCGCATGGGGAATTTTGTACTTGACTTAGCAAAAACAGACCAGCGATGTCCCCCCAGCTCCCGGTGAGAATTTGCAAGTGGAACCGATGCTCTCGATACAGTAGGGCCCACTCCCTGCTGGGACACGCCACTCTCCACCGAGGGCCCCAGCGAGGGCGCCGTGGCATCTGCCTCCGAGGAGGGGCTCCCTGCACGGCCACCGCCGCCGCCGCCTGCCTGCGGTCAGCTCTGGACCCATGCACAGCCAGGTGAGGCCCAGAGCAGGGCACCTATGGGTAGGAAGGGCCCCGGTCCCCACACAGAGGGCCGGGCGGCACGGTCACCTGCTCCGGTGATGGCGGGCATATTGAAGATCTCCGTCCCAGGCTGGCCGACATCTGGCGGGGAGGAGAGAGGGTGAGGCCAAAGCCCAGGGTCTCCCGTGCCCACCCAGCCCCCACGTGGCCCAGGCCAGGGGACCTGTTCTCCACAGACTCTGATGCAGGGGTGGGGCCTGAGACCCTGCACCTGCAGCCAGCTTCCGGCATGTGGCACTTAGCCAGCTCTAAGTGCTCTACAAGGGTCTCCCTCGGGTCCCGGAAGGAAAGAAGCCCCTGGGACCTGCAGAACAGGGGTCCCAAGGTCAGGGCCCCAGCTGCTCCTACATCTGCTGGCCGCCGTGCAGACGGGCGTGACACAGCATGTGGCGGGCACAAGCCCCAGTGTCGCTGGGTGCCCACCGCGGCGGGCGTTATTCTAGGCACGTCTGTGCCGGGGGCACCTATGGCAGGAGCAGCCAACAGACGCCCTGCGGCCCACTCGGCCCGGGCTTCCCCTTACTGTATTCCGGCTCGTTCCGGTTGTGGGTGTTCAGCTTCTTGTTGATCTCTTGCTTCTTGGACTTGACCATGGCGGAGTTGCTCTCAGTCAGCTTGCTGAAGAAGGCCGGCGGCTGGCTGGTGTTGCCAGGGGACTTGGAGCCCATCCTGCTGGGGGGTCATGCGCCCAGTCAGCTAGCCTGAGCTGCCTTAGCAACGCACCCACACCTGCCCCAAACCTCTTCTGCAGCCTGCCGGTCCTGGGACCCAGATAGGACACCCCGACACCCGTAAAGAACTCCAGAAACCAATACCAGGCTCCCATCACGGCTCCCTGGAGCTACTGGGCATGGCTCCCTCCAAGCCCCGCCCGGGTCCAGTCCACTCATCCCTCAGACCCCACCAGATGCCAGTGAGAGGGCTGAGCCCGAGGGAGGCTCCCAGCCCAGCGCCACCCCCCAGGCAGTGGACTGACAGGTCTGTCATCACCGGGCAGGGCCTCGAGCCCTGGACACCCCACACTAGAGCGGCGGGCTGAGGCCGAGCCTGCCAGGCCGGCATGGGGGAGGCACCTGGGCTCCGCCTGCTCCCCGTCCCGGTACAGCAGTGGGTACGCGGCGCTCCGTGGGCGGCCCGGCTCGGCCACGCCCTCCGGTGGGGACACCGGCTCCACGGCGTCCTCGCTGCTGCACAGGGCCGACGTCTTGTTTGGTTCTGGGGACCTGGGCAGAGAGGGGGCCCCGGCTGTGGTCAGGGCTCTCGCTCGAGGGGACGCCGCCGTGCGCCCAGCCAGGGTGGGGCAGGCTTTCCTGTGAGCGGCCAGACGGCTGATGCTCTGCACCGAAGACCACCCGAAGGCTTGCGCCCTGGGCGAGAACAGGTGGGGCGGGTCCAGGCCAAGGGCCAGCACGTCCTGCTGGGGGTTCTGATCGGGCCCCCGCCCCCGAAGACTTTCTGCCGACTGCCTGTGCCTGAGCTGCTGTCACACAGCCCACGGAGGGCCCCGGGGCAGCCTGGGCTGAGAGCACACTCGGGCTGGGAAGTGGCTCTCTGGCCACATGGCTTTGGCTCAAATCCCAACTCTGCATCCCAGTGGGAAGGGAATTCGCTTCTCCAGGCTTCAGTCTCTGCAACTGTGCAATGGGCACACAGCTGCCCCCACCTCCCGGGCCATGGCCAGAGGCGGAGACGGTGCCCACTGAGCCTGGCACCCTCCCAGCCCTCCAGGGTTGGCCCCGCAGGGAGCCCCTCAGCCCGCGCTCACCTCTTGCCCCCCTCGCTGTGCGGGGAGCCGCGGGCCGGTGGGCCGTGTTCTGGGGTTGGGAGGTAGAGGTCACTGGGCGTGCGGCGCAGGTCCAGGACGGGGCAGCTGGCCCCGGGGAAGGAGTAGAGGGGGGCGGGCAGGGGCGCGCTGAGCTGCTGCGGGTGGTGCCGTGTGTAGTCCTGCGTGATGACCTCCTGCAAGCCAGGGCGGGCGCAGGGTCAGGTGGCACCCTTCTAGAACCTTCCATGGGGCTGGGGCTAGACTAAGCTTTGGGGCTGGAACCCTGGCTTGGTTCCTGGCTTCTTGGGCCACTTGGGACCAGCCCACAGCCTTCTGGGCCTCGAGGTCCCCATGTGCAACAGGCTGGAGGCCTGGCCTCTGCAAGGGGCTGGACCACACCGGCCAGCTCCAGCCAGAGCCATTCTCAAATCATGGCGTCTCAGTGTTCTCGGGGCCGGGAGTCCCGGGCCGCATCCCAGGGTAGGGGACCATAGCTTGGACATCCGGGCCGAGACTCAGGGGTGCACCCTCCCTGCCCCCAAGTCCACGGGGCCCCTGTGAGCCCCCCCCCCCCGCCTCCCCCAGGTCCAGTCTCTGCCCTGGGTGCCAAGATCAGAGAGGTAGTTACACTGATGTGCTGGGCCAGGGTGACGACCCGCTGGTGACCCTTGACCCCGGGGGTGGGCTGCAGCAGGGAGCTGGAAGAGGGCTGGCTCTCACGCAGTGGCCGCAGGTGCGGGAGGTGGGCGGCTTCCCCGCCGAGCTTCACGGGGCCTGCGGACGGGGCGGAGCCGGTCAGGGAAGAGCAGACAGCGGGCGGCACCCCAGCTCTGCCCTGTGAGCTGCGTGACCTCTGGGTGCCTCGGTCTTCCCATCTGCGCAATGGGGCAGCGACTCGGGGGAGGGTACCTGGCTGCTTGTGCCGCAGCTCCCCCTCCAGGTGGCTCTTGTCGAGCTCTTCCAGGTGCTTGGGGACCGCCTTGTCGTGGCTCAGGCTGGGCGAGCTCACGGGGCTCACGGGTTCCACCCCGTCAGGGCTGTAGCTGCCGCCATGGTAACCTGCAGCAGGTGGGGCCCATGGTCAGGAGCCGGGCCCATGGGTCCGAGGGATCCAAAGGGTCCAAGGGCCGGGGATGCCCCTCCCGGCCCCCCAAGGTGGGCTGGGAACCTGAGCTGGGGCTGGGATTTGGGCCTCTGCAGGGAGTCAGAGGCCCAGAGGGAGAGCGGGGCAGGCGCAGAGGCAGGGGCACGGACGGACGGGCGGACGGAGACAGGCCTGGGGTGAGCGAGGGTCGGATGCAGAGACACGGGAGCAGGAGAGCTGGAGGGGGCGCAGGGGTGGCAGGACAGAGCCGAGTGAGGGCGCTGGGGCGGGGTGGGCAGTGACACGCGGGCCCGGCCCCACCTGGGCCACAGCCTCAGGCCCCGTGTGCAGCAGGGACGCCGCCCCTCGTCCCAGGGCACGGGGCCTGGGCATGTCCAGTACGCCCTCCGCCAGAGCCAAGATGTGGGAGCGGGGTTCCCGTCCCCTCACTGCCCACCCGCCCCACCTCCTCCAAGTCAAACTTCAAGGGCAGGCGGCAGTGGCGGGCACGTGGCATCGCCCGAAGCCCTCGCGGCGCCACCCCCTGCTCGCGGAACCAAGGCTCGAGGGGCGGGGGAGGGGACTCAGAATCACAGATCCACTCGGTAAAGGGAAAAAAAAAATAAGGAAAAATCCCAAAACCAAATGAAAATGAAAGAAAACCACAGAACTCATGATGGGGCTGTGTGCGCGATGAGGCGGCGGCCGTGGCGGGGTCCCCGGCGCGTGCTCAGAACCACAAAGCGGGCGAAAACAAAACGGGGTGGTCTGGGAGGGCCTCGAGGGCGCGGGGCCGGGGGTCTTACCGTCGCGAGGGGACTCGGCGGCCAGCGAACCTCCTCCTCGCGGCCCGACATCGCGAGCAATTTGACGCATGATTATCGCGTCTATGAAGCTGGCCGCTGTCAGGGTGGTCTTACCCAGAGATCGGAGCTCCAGTTCCTGGATGGAAAAGGGTTTACTCTGAGTCTTTTCCCGGTGCAGGTCGGAGGCCGAGGCCGAGGCGGGCGGCGCCGCTGGGTCCGGGCTGGCGTGCTGGGGTGCGAGGCTCTTCGCCGGGGTGCGGGCGATGGCCGCGTGGCTGGAGCCGGGGGGCGCCAGGGGCCGGGGCTCGGAGCCCTTGCCGGGGGAGGAGGCGGGCTCGCGGGCTGGGGGCTTGGCGAGGAAGGTGTGGCCGGTGTCTGCGCGGGGCCGCTCGGGCCGGGCGCCCCGGGGGGCCTCCTTGGGCAGCAACACAGGCTCCACGAGGGTCGGGTAGGCCCCGTCCAGGGCGCCGCCCAGCGGGCAGTGCGTGGCGGGCGGGAATGTGGCAGCCGGGCGGACAGGCGAGGAGGTGGAGGTGGACCTGGTGGGGGGGGAGGGGAGGGTCAGGCAGCTGTGGGGCCCCTCCCTCACAGCAGCGCCCGCGGTCTGCCCCAGGCCTTGGACAAAGTCCACAGTTCCTTCTGCCCCCAGGGCCACGTGAGGCGAGGCCGGCTCTCGCCTCCTGGCTACCGCTCACTCGTTCATTCAGCCAGTCTTCCCCGCCCACCCCACCACTCCTTCATCACTCACTCATTCATTCACATACCTGGCCTGCCCCACCCCACTCATTCATTCATTCCACTGCCACTCCTTCATTCATTCACACACCCCCGGCTGCCCCACCCCATTCATCCGTTCGTGCAGCAGTGTCCCTACCCCATTCACTGGCTAACCCATTCCATTCATGATTCATCCCCCCCCCCCCATTCACTCGCTCTCCTGTCTCCCCGCTCACTTCTATTTACCACATCCTCCCAAAGCTTTCCACCAGGCGCCTCCTGCTACGTGGGGGCAGCAGAGCCCTCACCCATCGGCCTGCTCCTCCACCCACCTGGCCACCCGGGTCTGCTGCCTCTGACCGCCGTCCAGCCCCCCCCACCGCGGTGAGCCCCGCCTGCTCACTGAGTCCACTGGCCGCCAGCAACACCCGCGCCGCTCGCCCGGCCCCGCCCCCCGGGCCCCGCTGGTGCCAACCTGGCCCACCTCAGGACTGTGGGCGTGCTGGGCTCCCCGGAGGTGGCGGCGCCCTTCACGCCCGTGTTGTGCAGCACACTGGGCCTCTGCTGCAGGACGTCCTGGGTCCGGGGGGAGATGGGCGAGTGCTGGTGGGAGTGGGAGTGGGAGGCGGGGCGGCTGCTGCTGCCCCCACCCCCGCCGCCGCCGCCGCTGCTCTGCTCCGTACCTGGCGACAGGCTGCGGTGTCAGGGTGGGGCAGGCCTCACGCGGCCCGCGGGGACCCCGGGGCTCGGGGCGGGGGTCCCTGATGCCTCACCCGGTCTCCAGATGGGCGCGTGCTCCACCGTGGTGGTGGACGCGAGGATGGACTTCTCCCGCTCCCGCTCCCGGTCTCGTTCCCGCTCCCGCTCCCGCTCTGACGAGGCCGCGCTGGTTGCTTTAGTCAAGTGGGTGGGACCTCCTGGGAAATCCATCAACTAGGGGCTCAGCCCGGGGTCTGGGAGGGCCGCCCAGGGCCCCCCCCCCCAACCAGGCACCTGCTCGCTCGCTCCCAGCGCCCGCCTGCCTGCCCGCCCGCCCGCCCGGGCCGCAGCGCCACCTGGGGAGAGCGGGGAGCTGCTGTGCCGGCTGCTGAAGGGCTGGGGCGCGGCGGGGAGGTAGGCGAGGCGGTCCATGGCGGTGGCTGGCGTGCCCGGCGTCGGGGGCACCAGCACGGGCAGGTGTGGCACTTGGGACAGGTCGATGATACCTGTGGGGGGGTGGCGGTGTGCCCTCAGGAGGCCGGCTCAGCCAGCGTGGGCCCCTCCCCCTTGGGTCCCGGCCCGGGGAGGGGTTGCTCTCTAGCAGGCTGCCCCTGCACACCCTGGCCTGCTGGCTCTGCTTTCTGACGTCAACTAGTACTAGTTCTGACGCTAATTAGTACCTGGGTGTGCACCACCATGCCGCCTCCCGTCGGGGAGCCCCGGACCCAGGCGGTTCCGACAGCCCGCGCCGTGCCCCCGCCGCCACCCCGGGCTGGCACCACGCACGCCTGCCGGCACCTCGGCGTGCCCACCTCGCGGGCCGGCAGCATAGCTGAGCGCCAGCGAGGGGTCGCGGGGAGTCAGGCCCCTCAGCATGTCGGCGCGCTGGGCCATGGCGGTGGCCGCGTTGTGGTGCATCTGCTGCGAGGTGATGTAGTCGTTGATGATGGTCTGGCGGTTCTCCAGCGCCGCCGTGTCGGGGTAGCCGCGGATGAGGTAGGGCGGGTACAGGTGCGGGTAGCTGGGGTTGGGGGCCAGGTGCCGGGGCAGGTAATACGCGGCAGCTGCGGTGGGGAGGTGGGGAAAACAGGGTCAGGCCGGGTGACGTCCCTGAGCTCCGCACCTGACAGCTCCCCAGGGCACACGGCAGAGTGGGGCAGAGACCCCGCAACACACAGGGGTGCCTCCCGGGCATGGCGGTTTTGTCCCAAGTTAGCACCAGCACCCGGAGCACCTGCCATTCCCAGGGAGGCATCCTTCCGGGAAGGTCTGGACTCCCGCCCACCCCAGCTCTGTTACGTTCTGCAGGAAGCAGAGACCCCCAGGTATATGACCAGGTGTGACCCTCAGATTACAGAGAAACTGCCTCGGCTCTCCTCCCCTCCAGGTACCCCCGCGGGGCCGGGGCTGCCAATCACCTGCGTCCAGAGGGATCCCGCGGGGAATGGAGGTGGGGTCGAAGGCCAGCGGGATGTGGCCCCGGTACAGGTCCATGCCGCTCACTCCCCGGAGCAGGTGCTCGTAGGGCGAGATGGGGTGGGCGTGGTGCTCGGGCACGGTGCTGTGCGGGGACTTGGCGAGCTCACGGGGCGTGGACGTCAGCTTCCGATCCTGGGACGCCTTGCTGGATGACAGGCTGCCTGTGGGCCGGGCCGAGGGGATGCGTTGGACTCGGTGGCCCAGCCAGCCCTGCCCCCAATGCAGGGACCCGGGGCGGCCGAGCTGGCGCCCACAGGAAGCCCCCTAAGGGTGCTTTGAGGGGGAGGCCCCGGGGTCCCAAGGAGCAGGCCTTTTCATTCTCTCCATCTGCCTCTACGCTCACTCTCTAGAATGACCGGCTTGTTTTCGCTTTCTAGTTCTTTCTTAAAAACCCGTGCGTTCTCTGTTTATCCCCTCGCTCGACCACAAAACCTTTATGCAGCCCCCCACGCAGTGAGCGGAGTTCTGAGAGCCGGGGTCGCCCCTGCAAACGACCCCCACAACGCTGACATCAGCTGCGGGAGACGGGGCACAAAGCAGCCAGTGAGTGAGCAGGGAGTGGGCGGAGACCGGAGACGCCAGCCTTGGGCAGGAGGGCGTGGGGGTGAAGGCAACCAGTTAGCCAATGGCAGGGGAGCGGGGGAGGGGTCCCCGGGAAAGACCCAGCTGCCCGAGGCTGAGCCGAGAGCGAGGAGGAAGAGGAGCCGGAGGAAGAGGAGCCGGAAGACCGGGAAGCAGAGGCCAAGGGCTCGGCCGGGAAAGGGCGGGTTTGCTTCTAAGTGCAGAGAGAAGGAATAATGAAAATGTTTACAGCGAGGGTCCCGCAGCCATGCGGGAGCCGGGTCAGGACCTGGGGGTCGGGGCGGGGAGGCAGGGACTCAAGAACCCCCAGGTCAGGCAGGTGGGCGGGGGCGGCAGCAGCCTCCGGCTCCCAGCCAGCAAGGCACCTTCCTCGGGCCGGCGCCCGCACCCCAGCCCCCAGCCCGCTCACCCTCCTGCAGGCGCGGTGTGGGTTCCCGCGTGGTCACAGGGGAGCCCCGCGGCAGGTGGCTGGCGAAGGGCGCCCCGTGGTCCTCATAGGTCAGGGGGCTCTGCCGCGGCTTGCCCAGCTCGGGCACGATGACCGGAGCCCCGCGGGTAATGGAGCCGCCCGCGCCGCCGACAGCCGCAGGCCGGCTCTTGAGGCTGTCATCGTAGCAAGCACGCTCCAGGGCCCGCGCGTCGGCCATGGCGTCCAGCGGGTGCACGGCAGGGAACGTCCGGCCGGGGCTGCCGATGATGGAGCGCACGTCGTGCTTCTTGGAGCCAGTGGAGGACGCGCCGGTGTCGTACTTGAGCGGGGTGCCCTGCGGGACAGGGCTGTGAGCTCGGAGGCCCCGGTTTTCAGTTTTCAGGGAGCGGCCTCTTGGGCCACATGGGGCAGACAGGAGGGTGCACTTGTCCCTGGAGGCCCCCAGAGCTGCCTGGGGGCTGCGGAGAGGGGCAGAAGGGTCAGCAGTCAGCTCTTCCCGGGGCAGGCAAAGCCCCCCCCCCCGCCCCGGCTACTGTAGCGCCCTCTGCAGCCCACCCTGCGGCAGCCATCCCAGGGCCTCAGCTCTGGCTCGCTCACTGGCCGAAGGGCAGCTGCAGAGATGAGGGTCATGGCAAAGGCTGGGAACTAAGTGGCCACGCCCCCGACCCTGTCCCAGCCGCCAGGGAGACACTGGGCATGGTGCCCGCAGCTCGGCCCGAGCTACTGGGAAGCATCGGAGTTGCAAAGGAAGGAAGCTGCCCTGATGCTTGCAAAGAATGTTCTAGCCACCCAGCCGGTCCCATCCTGGACACACAGTGGACACATGGATGCTCGCTCCTTGATGGCTGTGCTACCTGGACTTCCTGCTGCCTCCATCTCCCTTGTTGTAGGCCCCGCCCCTCATGGCCACAACCTGCTGGGGAGGGCTCCAGCCTCCATCCTGCCCACGCCAGGCCCCGTGGCCCCCGGGCAGCTCTGGGGAGGGCTCCAGCCTCCATCCTGCCCACGCCAGGCCCCATGGCCCCCGGGCAGCTCTGGGGAGGGCTCCAGCCTCCATCCTGCCCACGCCAGGCCCCATGGCCCCCGGGCAGCTCTGGGGAGGGCTCCAGCCTCCATCCTGCCCACGCCAGGCCCCATGGCCCCCGGGCAGCTCTGGGGAGGGCTCCAGCCTCCATCCTGCCCACGCCAGGCCCCATGGCCCCCGGGCAGCTCTGGGGAGGGCTCCAGCCTCCATCCTGCCCACGCCAGGCCCCTGTGGCCCCTGGGCAGCTCCTTGGCTGTCAGAGCAATCCTCCACCGCTGGGCCGGGCCTCTTGAGAGCTGCAGCCCCCGGGTTTAACCTAAGCCCCTAAGAAGCTGCGGATTTTAGGGACTGACGGCTGCTGCCAGCCGGCTCGCTGAGCCTGTCTGCTGGCCCGTGAGATGGGAACGGAACAAGAAACAGAGGCTGAGGCAGGCAGCACCTGACCCACCTGCCTCCCCGGGCCTGGACACTGGCTGCTGGGGACGCCCCTCACGGGGCCTCACGAGATCTCGGGCTGGAGCGCACGGCCTCGGGCCTCATCTCCCTGCAGCCGCCTTGCCCGGGTGGGGTATGCACCTGCGTGATGGAGCCCTCCTTGAGCGGCCGCGGGGCCAGGGGCAGCTCGGGCGTGCGCCGTAGCTCCTCGCGTGGGATCTCGTGGATGGAGCGGCCGGCCTCCTTGACGGTGGCCACCAGGCCCTCGGCGGCCGGCTTCAGCTTCAGAGGGCCCAGCGCCTCCAGGGGCCGGGGCTTGTAGGCCTCGGCCAGGTCCCGTGGCGGTGGCGGCGGGGGCGGGGGCGTGCCCTCGCGCTTCAGGAGCTTGGCCTCGCGACGCAGGTAGTCCTCCTGGGCCTCCACGTAGGAGCGCGGGATCCCTGGCGGCACACGGGGAAGACAGGGCCCGGCCGTCAGCTCCCCCGCTGCCCCGCCCAGCCCAAGGCCAGGGATTCGGAGCGCAGAGCCTCGCCCGCCCTCTCTGCCCCTGTGGTGACCATTCGTTAGCGACAAGCGCCTGGCCTAGCGGTCAGCAGCCAGTGAGCCAGGCAGGCAGGCAACAGGGGCGAGGAGCCGAGGGTGACCTGGCCTCTGTGAGCCTCCTGCCACCGGCACCTGCCTCGGGCGGACAGAGGCCCTGGCTGAGCTCAGGTGCGCTGCAGGGCAGGGGCGGTGGAGGGGCTCTCACATGCCTGCCGCTCCATGCCCGCACCGCACCCGTCCCCAGGGCATCCTGGGCGTCTCCCCGCCTCCGCCCACGGCTCCCGGCACAGGGCAGGGGTGGGTACCTTGCGTGATGGAGCCACGGATGTGGTGCTGCTCTTTCAGGTGGTGGGGGCTGTGGCGCTCAGGTGGGATGGCGCGGCCCATGAGACCTGGGGGGGAAGCCCAGGGCGTCACCCCGTGGCCCCCGTCCCACCTCCCGACCCCAGGGTGCCTCAGCCAACGCAGCCCCAGCCAGGTCCTCAGCCGGGCCACCCGCTCCATCTAGGGGAACTTCCCTCTCCACCGT